AATATGGTCCTGATTAAACTGTGGTTTAGAAACGTTTTTATACAAATATTACAACAAACATTATTATAACATAATGAATTTATTAGTCCACTGACCACATGCCACAAACATGCACTTATACAGACATATTTAAACATCTATTATACAGAAACCTTTACACGTAATTATTTCAGTTGAATGAAGGTTTTCACTGGAGAAAGAATGGGTACCCTTTACTTTCAAATGTGCTATAATGTCCTTTTTTTAGCGCAAATGTTTCTGCGACATTTTTGCTCTGTCCCCGCTGAAATGAAGCCGCTCGGAATAGCCTGTTTCTATCTTATTATATAAGTTAAGACCTAACACCAGTTTTATACCCTTTGAAACATACTGAAATACACAAGGCTTCACATTTCAAATGCAATGAAAGATGTAGCAACAAATGACAAAGATTTAGCAACGATCACAACACTGGAACGTGAAAGTAGCCAAAACAATGCACACCGCCCTCATGTCAACATTATACAGGAGAACACAGATGGATCGAAACGGGGAGGGAGGTAAGTTTTTGAAATGCTCTCGTTTTCATGCTCACGAAAAAGTGAGATTGGATGTGAGTTCACGAATACGATTTTCTCTACTCATCTTCTTAAGTTTCATCCTGCGGTTTTGGAACCAGATTTTCACTTGTCTGTCAGTGAGGTTGACACATTTGCTTATCTCTAGACGGCGCTCCCGAGTCAGGTACATGTTGAATAAAAATTCTTTTTCTAATTCCAAGGTCTGGTGTTTTGTGTAGGGACATCTTTTTTTCCTTCCACTCTTCGCGGTTAACCAGTTGCTCGTCGGTGTGTCGTTTTTAGATTCTGCAAAACAAAAACACACAGTGAACCAACAGCAAAACAAAAAGGGAAATCAAGACACTTTTTTGCATTAAAAAAATAGAAAGCGTATGCTTGTTATAACAGTTATCATAATTAAATCTATGCCTATTAGAATTAACGTAGCCTACTGAGTCTAAATATTAGCCCATGTGGCCTCGTTTGGACTTTCAGCACACAATGACAAGTGTTGACTACAGCGTACTTTTACTGAATTGTTGTTGTTAATATTATTATTTTTATTTTTTCAGTTAACAATAAGTTTTATTAAGCTAAATTACTCCTTATAACCCATGCACTTTTTATACAGGCGATTTTTGTATTTAACTACCAGAAATATGATTTTGCCAAGCTATAGCCTACTAACAATGTTGCAGTTAGTAACAAATAAATGGCAATGAATGGTTCCTACATTAAAAGTACATTCATTTTCGTGCTGAATGGATAAAGCTGCAAACACATTTCACCGAGACTCTGCTGCTTATATTGAGCAAAGATTGTCAACAATGAAAATGCGCACATAATTAAATGCTATCTTTATATGCCTTTGATTTAATCGTCGGCAGTGTGTGTATTGTCACAAAGCAGTAATATTGTCGTTATATACATAAACAAATTAAATATAAAAATAGCTCTACGGAGTTATGAACTTGTTTATATAGAAATCTTAACATGATTTTAGATTAAGGAACAATCATGCCAGATTCTTTACATAATTTTAATAAAGCGTTAAAAGCACGCATGCACGCGCTAAATGCGTGGGTTTCCTAGAATACACTGAAGTAAATCGTAAACACTATCAATTTTCCCAGATAAATAATACAAAAAATACAGAATCACTGCAGAGGGCTGACATGTGGAAACAGACATAAACATCATATTTGGAAGTATAATGTTTTGATGATCACATATGTCAAATAGGCCTACTATACGAAATGCATAATTTATCTCGGTTAGGAATTTAAAGGTAAAAACATTTATACTAATTTACACTCTAGTAAATAGTGCAGGCTATGATTCTTCGACAAAGGTTTTGTCTAGGCTATTTAATTTGTTGGCCTGTAATAAATAGATGAAATGAATAAAAATAGACCTACGATTAATAAGAGGATGCCGTAGAGATAAGTAGTGGACTCCAGATACGTTGTGCTAAAATCCATGTATCATTAGAAGTATTTCATTTTATTTTTTTTCCAGTGTACACGCAAATCTGCCGTCTCCCATGCAAGGAACGGTTTACAAAATATATTATAAAACTAAAAGCTGCTGAAGACCTTAAAAATCAGCTACGTTGTAATGGGCTATGCTTGCAATATTAAGGATGATATAGCCCAACAACAACGACGACAGATATTATTATTATTATTTGTTATTATTGTTAACAACAACAACAAAACAACAATAACAATCCTAATAGTTATAATAATAATAATAATAATGGTAGCGATTCTGTTTATGTTTGATCTCTTTATTGAACAAGACGTTTCCCAAAAAAGGCACTCTACAACCAAATGTTAAAGCGTGTAAAAAGGCACTGAGACTAGGCAGATGTATACTGAAATGATTTTCCCAAGAAAGAAATCCTCCGTACGCAACTAAAATATATTTTCTGGGTTTTCAGGGGGGGGGGGGGGGGGTTTTTC